TATATATATATATATATATATATATATATATATGTATATTGTAATGTTGAGGGTAGAATACAGGGAGACAATGGCAGACTAGAAGAGAATTCACTAGCAAATTAATTCAGCAACAACAAAAAACATTAAAAATCTTTTTGTTTATTTTGGTAGTGCGGACTAAACCCACAGGAGCTTTGCCACTAAGCTACATCCCCAGTCTTTTTTATTTTTATTGAGACAGAGTTTTGCTAGGTTGCCAAGACTGGCCTTGAACTTACAATCCCCCTGACTCAACCTCCTGAGTCACTGGGATTACAGGTATGCACCAGCACACCTCAAAAATCTTCCCATCAGATAGAATATCTTGACCAGATACTATTTCTAACACATATGGTCACACTCCTTAAGTTGGTATATAATAAGAACTGACTGGGAACCTAATGCACAAAGAGGCAAGTCTATGGTAGTGGTTCAGAGAATGAGTTCTAGAATCGGAGTGCTTGAGTTTGAATCCTGTCAAACTTACACACTGTATAACCTTGGCCAAGTCATTTAATCTATCTGTGCCATAAATTCCTGAAAAAGACTTTTAAAGTGTCTCCATGTTTTTGTAAGAAGTAAAACATTAACATTAGAGTGCAGGGTATCATACATACCCGACACATATACTATTCAACAATGTTAACTTTGCATCATTACCACTCATATGAAAAACTGGCTACGTGGAGAGACTCCAGCTACAAACTGAACCACAATGGGGTAAGCCAGACAAAATTAAATACGAGTACTCCCTGGGTATAGGCAACATTAATCAAAAACAATCTGAAGCAAGAAAAACCCTTCTGAGTCAGATGAAGTACACACTTAGTTTTAGAACTTCCACACAAAATTAATTAGAGGTACCCTAATCAAGTACAGGCAGAACCCAGGTCATCGGCATAGCAGCCAGTCTCTAGTCTGCTGATATTTAATCACTTTTTTATTCACATTTATAAATTCTTCAAAACCAAATTAAAGACAAAATTCATTAACTATTTTTCTCCAACCAAATATATGGTTCTCACCAGGCACGGTGGCGCACACCTGTAATCCCAGCAGCTTGGAAGGCTGAGGCAGGAGGATCATGTTTAAAGACAGCCTCAGCAAAAGCAAGACACTAAGCAACTCAGTGAGACCGAATCTCTAAATCAAATACAAAATAGGGCTGGGCACAAATCTCTGGTACCCAAAACAAAAAACAAAACAAAAAAAACAAATATATGGTTCTCTTTTAGAACATGAACTTTTTTTTTTTTTAATTGTGTCATTCAAGTCTTTTTCCTCCAAGAGCTTTCCTGTTTTTAAAGGAAAAAAAGAAAAAGACTGTCTTTGTACAACATAAATTTGTACAAATTTTCTGCTGTAAAAAAATTAGATAATGCTCCCCTCTAGTGGCTTACTTGGAATAAAACCCATAAAATTCTATCAGCACCAACTCTGAAGTAGCAAAGGTATTAAATACTATTACAAATATAAAGTTGTCTTTTAGCTACTACCCAATGAAAAAGTGTTATTCTGTCCATTTAATCTCTCATCAAAAATACTACTATGACCTTTACTACTACAAATAAGCAGTATCTCTACATTAGCTTAACAGTTAAATAAAAATACCTGTTCCAACAAATGGATCAAAGACAATATCATTTTCTTTCACTTTTCCATGGTTTGCCATGATGAATGATAAACCAGCATCCATGCTTGTATTTCCAATAAAGTGTCTCTTTTTGACACTATATGACTCAATTAGCTCTCTCTGTCCATCTGCAATCTAAATCAGAGATATTTTTCAAATTAGTAAAACTATAGAGAAGAGATTTAAGATTTAAGATAATCACAAAAACCACAGCATCCTGTTGATGAGAACTTTCCACTTAACTACTGCTCTAAATTCATTCTTTTAAAATAATGTTTTTGAGGTAGTTCTGGACAAATATCTTTCCCTTTACTATGTCTTTTCAAACTAAATATGAATTGAATTTGAACCTAATTATTCCAAGAATTGGTGCTGATAAGCTTTCCCGATTTCTTTTTCTCTTAAATAACAATAATCTATATAACATGAGTCTCAGCTTCCACTTACCCACGTACAGCCCCAGGGAAGTGAGCTGAAGTGTTCTAAGTAATCCATTTCTCTTAAGAATTAAGGCCTGGATTTAAGAGTTCCATAAATGAGATCCACAACTATTACAGTACTCTGCCTTCCTTCTATATTAGTAAAAAAGCAGTTGTCCAAATTTTCTGGTAAATTTTGTTTTAATGTCACTAGGTACACCACTGTCATCCTAGGTCACATATCTAATAAGCCTATTGAACCTCAGAAATCTCTGGAGAAATGCATTGCATTTTTTGTATAAAGGCATTACCTTTTTTTTTTTTTTTTTTTTTTGGTGGAGCTGGAGATCAAATTCAAGTCCTTATGCATGCTAAACAAGTCACTCTGCCACTGACCTATAACCCCATCCCATATTCAGCTTTTAAAAGAAACAAAATAAGATAGGCAGAAAGAATACTTGCTTACCCATCTACCAAAATAAATATTATATGGATTCTCAGGGATGCAATTAGGGTCCAAACCATAATCCTCCAAAATAGAGAATATATGTTGTGGTTTCTTTAAGTTCACTTTTCCTTCAAAGGGCAGAAATTCAAGTGCCTAAAAAATATAAGCAACTGTAATGTTCTATAAAATTTTCCAAGGGAAAATAGTACTTAACTAATAATATCTACCATGTAAGTCTGATGTCAGCAATTAAATAAGATAAAATGTGAAAATCCTTAGCAAAATTGTGGTACAAAACAAACAAATAAAACACTTGACATTAGCTGTTCCTATATATCAACAATGACTAGATTAGGTTATTACTCTAGGGGTTTTATTTTGCTAAATTCACTTACATCTATTCGTTTGACTTTTTCTTCTTGTGTCAATGTTTTATTAAATGTGTGAATCTTTATTTTATACGTAGAGTCTGAATGCAGAAATGGAACCTAAAATAAGCAGATAATTTTTAAGACATTAGTAATACAAAATGTATATATATGCTTATATAAAAATCACATTTCACTACTCACCATCTTCTCCAAAGGGTAATTTTTAAGAGAATTATACAGCTCCTCAGGAGATCTTCCATGACCCCATAGTTCAAATATAGACCTAGGGAATAAATGATTGGTACTAACCTCAGTAAAGAATTTAGTTCACACAGTAATATTTAAGTTATTTTACTAGTTCTTTACACTCACTCTTTAACAATTATTGTCTGTGTGTTCTAAGCTACAAACAACAAATACATGTTCTGGAAACAAATATAGCATAAGTCCAAATCACACAAAAAAGTTGAACCTAATAGAGTTGGGTGGAAGTTTAATATAATTTAGGATTTGTCCAAGTTTTCATCTTTTTATATGCTAGGATTGAACCCAGGGCTTTGCGCATGTTAGCATTGACTCTACCAACTGAACTACATCCCTGACACCCCATCATTTTATTTTTATTCTAGATCAAATGATGCAGTAAAATCATTTAAGATATTTTGGTCAAATGGATGAGAAGTTGCAGAAAATCCAAGTTTTCCCAATGTCTTCTCCATAAAACAAAAAGGACTATATACAAATGTTGCTATTAGCATTTGGCTATGATTTGGTAATATCTATTAACAAAGCTACTCAAAATGTTAAGATTTAACAATGTAGGTTTGCTACAGTTTTTATCTTATTTTGTGTGATCAATATAGTCTAAGCTAAAAATAAATAATTAAAACCCATTTCCAATCACTTTTCTACTACAGAAAATTCTGAATTTAATTTAGTTTTTTGAGTTTTTTGGTACCGGGGATTGAACTCAGGGGCACTCAACAATGAACCACACCCTCAGTCCTGTTTTGTATTTTATTTAAAGACAAGGTCTCACCGAATTGCTTAGTGCCTTGCTTTTGCTGAGGCTGGCTTTGAACTCCCAATCCTCCTAAGAACCGCTGGATTACAGGCATGCACCACTGCACCTGGCTTAAGTTAGTTTTCAATTTATGCTTGTAAGTCTATTTTCATTCTGCTATGAGATTGTAAATACTATCCTTTACAAATGAATTCCTCCTTTTCATTCTATTGAATTTATACAGAAAAAAAACTCTATTCTTACTACTCTTACTTAATAATCTCTTTAATTTCAGCCATGCAAATTGTAGAAGAAATAAACTGAAAAAGTATTAAGTAATATTATTTAATATTACAATTATTAATTTTACCAATCATCAAATATAAGCATCAGATGATATCAGTTTTAAAAGAAGTGCACAAATTCTTAGTACCCAGGTATTTGTTTTAAATTGAATAAGCTTCATATTTGGAATTCAAACACTTCAGCCAAAAATTTTGAGATCATCAGGTAAAATAATAAGTTATTCAAAGAGTATTTTTTAGTTATGTTCTCATTTTTGAGTCATTTTTATTTAATAAATAAGACTCACTAACAAATTTCAACTTAAGGGATTAGACTTTTAGGGCTGCAGGTAGTTCTCAACAGGAGGAAGTTCACTAAATAAGGGGTTATAGCCAATTCAATGACAACAGAAATTACATATCACACTATGAAGCATTGCTAACGATGTTAATAAAATGATATATGAATAATCTTAATTGTATTACATTAATAAACATAATTTCTAAGAGAAAGGTTTTCAACAACCTGTCAAAATATTCAAGAAAAAAAAACTGAGAAAAACTAAAAAGTGTTAAATAAAAAAATACTTTTAAAGAAAAAAAGCAAGAAAAGGAAAGAGTAGATGTCAATGATAAAATATAGAAACTCAGGATAATTTATTAATTTATACCAATATACTTCATTAATTTATATCAATATATGATCATTAAACTGCTTTTTCTTTAACAAAGAAAACAGTAAAACATGTTTCAGGGCAGTCCCCACATTTTGTTACATTACACTTTACCAGTCTGCTCAATCCAACTAAAAATCACCTGTATGAAAAGCATTTTTTGGCCAGGAGTGTTGTTGCATGCCTATAATCCCAGCTATTTGGAGAGGTTGAGGCAGGAGGATCAAGGATGTAGATGTAGCTGAGTGATAGAGACCTCTGGGTTCAATCTCCAAATACAGGGGAGAAAAAAAAAAATCACTTTCTGAAATTTTAATACTCTGGTTATACTTAAATGTGGCATCTATCCTACATAAGAATGTAGCATTTATACCCCATACTATACTCCCAGTTAATACAGCACTTTAAAGAAAAATGGTTCTAAGCAAGAGTTTCTACTTTTCTCCATTGAGAATCTTCCAACTTTTAATTTCAGCAGGTAATTCTGTTCCCACACCGCCACCCAGTGGTAAATGCATGTTAACTACAAGATAAACCAAGCTCCTGCCACAACCAGTCCTACTTTCTACCAAAATAGAAGAGGGCAGTTAAGTATAGGGTACACTCATGCAGGATAACATGGTAAGTTTTTCTTACTTGGCACACACTGTCCGTTTCATTAAGTTTCTTGCAATATCTTCAGAGGGAAGACTAAGAATCCAAAATGGTGACTGAAATAAATAATAATACGCAAGTTATTTCTAAGTAGCTACCAACACCTGGTTCGCTTTTATTCAAGAAGTCAACAGGAGAAATTTCTATTTGCTGCTTTCACTTAAGAATACCTGATCTGACTCTATAGAAAAAATGATCCAATGAATGAAAATATCAAATTAAATTTAAACTTATTTAACTTTAAGATTAATTTTGTGTTTGCCTTAATGTAGCTTGACTAAAAGAAACAATGCACATTATACTACAGAATACAGTCTTGGAAATTTTTATCTTTGCTTATCATTTCTTATAGTACAGCTATTTTATTTTTAACTTATAAGTAATGTATTTCTTAATACTAAATGATCTCTTTTTCTAAGTAGCTGTGGTTATCTGAGAGGTAGATGAGAGCCCTGTGAAACAACTATGATAGATAATCATGGGGAACATTATTATTACCATTAAGTTGTACTGTTTTATTATATTGTCTAGGAGGAAAAAAAAAAGGTCCGAGTCAATCAGGAGTTTCTCAATCCCCTATCTCAATACCCAAGATTACAGGAAATATCTTCTCAAACAGTCCCTTGCCAGAATACTGCCAAACACAGCAGTGTCCTGACCTCATTCATCACTCTCCTTTCACTTTGTCTCAATAACTGAAAGTAAATAAGGAATATAACTCTAATACTATGGAACTTTTAATTTAAGTTCTCTCATCTTTTGCAAGAAATCCTCCCTGACATTAGCAGTCTATCTTCTTCCAGTATTTACACTATCCTACAGAAAAATTCAAAATAATCCAAATAGAAAAACAGATCATTAGTATTAATTCTATTAAAAAATTTTTAAAGCAATCTAAGTTAAATTAAATGGTTATATAAATTATGGTATAGTGCAATTACATTGGTGATAAAGGCTAAGAACAACACATACCTATATTAATATTGTCAAATAAAAAAAACAGGTTATAGAAGTTCATGGTAAGCAATATTACAACTGAGAAGGATAAAGGATATGAAAAAGACTGGAAGGTCATATCCTATCCCCAATTATAAGTCATGACAAAGTGAAAGAACTGTAAATGATTTTTCTTTTCTTTTTTTGTTTTTCCAAACCTCTTTAAAACACTGATAAACTATAAATACAAAATAAAAGCTTATAAATTCACAATCATATATAGTATAAAATTTCAAATTTTAAAATTATGCCCAATATAAACCTACAGTTCATTTAAATTGTAATTCTGAATACATTTCATCAACAGAATATAGTCCTTTCTTAAATGAAAGAACAGATATACATTATGGTGCAAGTGTTGAATTAAAATTAAATTTGGCACTGGGAATGTAGTTCAGTGGTAGATGACTTGCCTAACATGTATGATACGCTGGGTTCAATCCCCAGCACCAAAAAATGAAAATAAAAAATAAAAATTTAAAACTGTAAGTACATCTGTTACTTTCCAAAGCCATAATCTTCCCCTAAATATCCTTTTTATTTCATTTTCTCTAGGAACAGATACAAATAACCACAAAAATATAAATTTAAGCTTTGTAGTTCTCTTCAAACCCAAGATTCTATTTATATATACATTACATATGGTCTAATGAAAATTCACCTTACCTTCCCATAAGTTTCTTGACTGCTGATGAACTGACCTCCAAAAAGTGAAAGCAAAGATTTTATTTCCTGCATTGAAAATATTATAGAGAGAATATATTTCAAACAGGAAACTCAAAGTCTTCTAAGAGAAACAAACCTAATATGATTTAAAAAGAAAAAGAATGGAGTGATATCTACCCAAGGCATTTAAGTTTCAATATCAGACAATTCCAACTCAGGGTTCTGAAATTTTATAGTCACAACCATGGTTAAGTAATTTCAGAGAATTTTAGACAACAGAATTGCCAGAGAATGTCCCGATTTTAAAAGGGGGTGGGGAGGCAAAAACAAATTACAGACACTATAGATTGGTAAATTTAACAATACCTCATAAAATAAAATACCTCATAAAAATAAAATGAATAATTAAAAACATGATTTGAGGATATTTGGAAAATAACTACAGAGCATCAACATGGATTCATTAAGCACATTAAATTAACCTCTTCTACCTGGATTAAATTATAGCACTAGAAAGAGAACTAACATAATAGGCATGTTAAAAGCATCATGCGTACAAAGTTGAAATCACTTCCAATAGTTTGTGAATTCTGTGAAGCATACACTTTATATTGATAAACGACGACTATACAAATTTTATGACCTGTACCACTAACAACTACTATCTACAAATTCTACTTACTGAAAGCAGGTAAAATCTTGTATAGGTCCTATGGAGCAGGTAACCTAAAGAAGGAGAAACGTCCCCACTACTGGTTGCTGACAATCCCCTTTCCTCCCAACCAGAAGAAAGAACCTTTAACACCAAGCCTTCAGTGAGCGTCAGCCATCACCAGGGAATGCATACCCACATCACCAAGTTCCTCATTCCAAGATCCAAAAGAATGGGAGGTTTAAGCAACTAATGCCATTTGTATTTTTCTTTTGTCTCTGCATCAAATAATTTCTTATATTAGAAGGAGGTGAATTCAGTACAAAAATATGGATAGAGCACAACCTAAAACAAACTACCAGTAAATCAGTAAAGGAAGCCCAAAGGTTATTTAGCAACATGAGTAACACAAATTGGAATAGTAGACATTATGAGACTCAGGACTAAGACAGACTACAATCTGATTTCAGATCTTCCACATACTAGCTATGTGGTTTTATATATGAAATTAAACTTCTTTTACATCCAGTTCCCTTGGGTGTAAAAATAGGAATCAGAGTTATCTCATGAAGTTAGAAGATCTATATAGAGAGAAGCACAGACTCTTAGGGTATATTAAGGGACTCTAGATAATGATGACCTCAACACTATTACTGAAATTCAGCAGCTCAGGAAGTTAAGCAAGTCTAACAGAATTATAACAATCAGAAGAAAAAAAATGAACTTATACATTAGGTTACTTGGTCTTACATGATTGTTGTTCCTTCTGTATTAAAGTATTTTGGGAATCAGCTTTACAATTAAAACATCTAAATACAACCAAGTCAAAATTTGCTGCTCCTAGAATCATTGCTAAAAAACAGTGATAGGCTAAAATATAAAGGTCTTAAGAGTTGGAAACAAAATGGATGCAGTGGCACACACCTGTAATCCCACTAACTTGAGGCTGAGACAGGAGGATCACAAATTCAAGGCTAGTCTCAGCAACTTAACAAGGTCATGAGCAACTTAGTGAGATACTGTCTCAGAATAAAAAACTTTAAAAAAGGGATGGGGATGTGGCTCAGTGGTAAATTGACTCTGGATTCAATTCCCAGTACCAAAAAAAGAGAGATAGAACGAGAGATGCAAAAAAGAAAGTGAAGAATTATCAGAAGTTTTATAGCATAGCATTAGCTCTAATACCCAAAACTTAAATAACCACTTAAAACTGAATTTGGCATGATCAAGACAGGTGAGATTCACATGATTAGCTTCAGGTACGATTCTTTCTTCTGAAGGGACATCTAATGGATTTTGTTTACATGCTCCTTATATTGTAGCATGACACATCAGTTTTATGCTTCCTACTTCTGCCATTGCAAATATGATTCTAATACAATATTTACAATCTATGTCCTATGAACTGTGAACAGAGCCATCTGTGTTGTGGTATTTTTTAATTCTCAGGCCTATACCTTTTCAGAATCCTTAATTTTATGGAACTAAGTTCTTTTATTTATACCTTCTGTCTCATTGTTTCCAAATATAACTCTCATTGTATTTTTTTTCTGTATTATTTTCCTTTGGATGAGAATATAGATAAGGATAAGGTCTCATCTCAAATCCTGTTTTTTCCTTAATGGTATGATACCAGCATGCCAAATACTGGCAACCTGATGGTCTGTGTTTGTTTTCCAATCAAATCTTGAAGTTCTCTCTCTCTCTCTCTCTCTTTTTTTTTTTTTTTTTTTTGGGTACTAGGGATTGAATCCAGAGTCAATTTACCACTAAGCCACATCCCCATCCCTTTTTCCACTCAAACCAGATCATTTATTTAAGTTGCTTACTTTTTCATCCATTCAGGTTTGTTTCAGAACCAGCAATAAAATCCAAGTCGCTTGAACTTAACTTTTAGTATATAAGGCAGCAAAAAAATTACAATTGGCCCTAACTTTATATGAGATGTAAAACTGGACTACACTTAGATTCCTAATTTCTCATTTTAATTCATAAAGGCAGCTACTTCTTGTAGCTTCTTGTTTAGCAATTCTAATGAAGTAGATAGGTCCACAAGTGTAGAATGAGGTCCACAAGTGTAGAATGTCCCTTTATTACCTTCCCTAGAAGGTACCTTATTTCATTTAATTCAACATTATAGAGCAAATTGTATGTGTAAGGCACTAGGTAAGATAAATATCTATTTATCCTAAAGGAGTTTAGGATTTAATGGAATTAATGAAACATTTAACCCCACAATTGAAGTGTGAAGTGTTCTTAAAGAAGTAAAAGCAAGGCCGTGTGTGGTGGTGCGCACTTATAATCTCAGTGGCTCAGGAAGCTGATGCAGGAGCATCAACAGTTCAAAGCCAGCCTCAGCAAAAGCAAGGCTAAATCAATGGCAGAGGACAACCTCTTCCAGGAAAGGTAAACTAGATAATTCAGATTAAGTCTCTTGATATGAAAAAACTGAAAAAGCTGAATATCTACTGAAGGCCCAGAGAGCGAACCAGAATCACCAAACCAAGACTGAAGAGAAATTTCAAGAAAGAACAAAGACAGGGATTTCAAGGAAGAACCACTTTTCCCTAAAACATTTACCAACTTCAAAAACAACTGTCAAGGCAAAAATCCCTCTGATAACCTAATGGAGCTAGAAGGACAAAAGGAGTACAGGGCTGCCCATGGGGAAGAAAGGAGATTTGACAAACAAACCACCCGATTTTTACTAGGATCCCATACTCTAGGAGCATGAATGAAGCAGAATATAAAGAGAGCTTAATATCTATTATGGTTTAGATATGGTCATCCTCCTACCTAAAAGTTCATGTGAGACAATGCAAGAATGTTCAGAGATGAAATTAGATTATGAAAGTTGTAATCTAATTAGTGGTTTAATCCACTGACATGGATTATCTAGGCAGTAACTGTAGGCAGGTAGGGTGTGGATGGGGAATAAGTCACTGGGGGCCGTGACTTTGGGGTTTATATTTTTTCCCTGGTAAACAGAGCTCTCTCTGCTTATTGGTTCTCATGCCCTGAGCTGTTTTCCTCTCCCATGCCTTTCTGCCTTTGTGTTCTGCCTCAGTAGGGGTCCAGCTACACAGTAGGTCATCTGTGGATTGAGACTTCTGAAACCATGAGCCAAAATAAACTTTTCCTCCCCTAAGTTGTTCCTGTCATGTATTTTGGTCACAGTGACACAAAGCTCACTAAAACAATATCTGAAAATTAGTTAAAGTGACTCTGGACTCCTAATGCTTTTTTCTATGTGTTCCATCCTTTTTTAAGAGAATGTACTATGGACTGGGTTGTGGCTCAGTGGTAGAGCACTTATCTAGCATATGGGAGGCCCTGGGTTCGATCCTCAGCACCACATAAAAATAAATAAATTAAAATAAAGGTATTTTTTTTTTATTGTTGGTCGTTCAAAACATTACATAGTTCTTAATATATCATATTTCACAGTTTGATTCAAGTGGGTTATGAACTCCCAGTTTTACCCCGTATACAGATTGCTATATCACATCAGTTACCCTTCCATTGATTTACATATTGCCATTCTAGTGTCTGATGTATTCTGCTGTCTGTCCTATTCTCTACTATCCCCCCTCCCCTCCCCTCCCCTCCCCTTCCCTTTTCTCTCTCTACCCCCTCTACTGTAAATCATTTCTTCCACTTGTATTATCTTGTCTTACCCCTCCTTTCCTCTTATATGTATAAAATAAAGGTATTGTATCCATCTACAACTAAAAAATATTTTAAAAAGAAAGAGAGAGACTGTATTATCATCCTAGTTCTCAAAGTATTTCTTTGAATAAATTTTCAAGGATAGCATCTGGCACATATTTAAAAAATAATCTAGCACATATATCTGAAGAAGAAACAGAAACTTTATAAACAATAGAAACAGACCCACAGTGCCCCTTTATGAGTCACATACTTTAACTACTCGGCATTCTATATTGAAGGGGATAAAGAAGAGTCATCCCCTGGCAGAGAAGAGTCATCCCCTGGCAGAGGATGTTGTAGATGTTAATAATCAAGTAAAAAATATAAACCTAAAATAAGTAAATATGCAGGTAAATCTAAATGAGTACTGATTATATAAAATCCAGAGATTAAATTATAGGAGAGGAAAGACCCAAACCAGACAGAAGGAACACAGAGAGCAAAAACCAAAGCAGGAAAATGGAGGATATCCTTCAGGGAATGACAGGGAGTCAGTTTGGGTGGGATTAAGGACTGGGAACAATGTGAGAAAGCCAACAAGAAAGCTAGGCCTGTCAGACCATTGGAACTTTAACCTTAAGAAAAAGGGGGCATAAAACAGAACTGAGCTTATGAAACGTTAAACTGGCACCAGGGTAAGACAGTTACTAATAAGAAGATAAAGGGAAGAAACAAGTAAATTCAGCAAGTACTAGGGATGCTATTCTTAACACCACAGCCTGACCCCTCCATTCCCACCACACTGCCTTACTTTAGGTACTTATTCTAGTTCCTCTCTAGTATCCTCTAAATGGTATTTTTGTCTGGTATTACAGAATTATCTCTAATAAAACAAAAATGATCTTGTCATATCCTCTCAAAAAGAAAAAAAAAGTCAATGTCCCCCTCAATCTAAAATAAAAATTCAAACACCCTGGAATAGTTTCAAACACTCCAAAATCTGGACGCTACCCCACCTCTCTAGCTTCAATGCCCCCTACCTTCATCCTCTCTCCAATAACCAACTACGTTTCTATACCTTGCATGTGCTTCTCTTTTTCAGGGAAATGGGCTTTCCAATCCTCTTCACTAACACAGTATCTCCTTTATAATTTAAGACCTTCCTTTTAAATATAAATGTGCATTTTCAAGTTTCCTAAAGGAATTCAGTATTTCCTAATACTGAATCAGTGCTATAATCTTCCTGCATAATTCCCAAGGACAATAAGTTGAACACTAATTGAGAAAATCAAAGAATCTTGGCACAATTGAAAACACACAATCTTACCAGGCATGGTGGCACACACCTGTTATCCTAGCTACTTGGGAAGCTGAGGCAGAAGTATCAAGTTCCAGGCCAGCCTCAGCAACTTAAGAAGACCCTGTCTCAAAAACAACAACAAAAGGGTTGAAGATTTAGTTCAGGTAGAAAACTTCTGGGTTCAATCCCCAGGACCAGAAAAGAAAATGATAGAAAACAAAAATACACCATCTACACCTTCAGTGGCTTGCTGATTTTTCAGCCTTGCTGCAACACCTGTGATCTTCTCTACTAAACTTTGTCCTTGTTACCTCCCTCAAAGACTATTTACAATTTCACTATTTTTCATTTTTCCCATTCAACTGATGATGCCTTATGTCTTGAGAAAATAACTCAGATTTATTCACTTCCTAGAAAACAGACCTCCAGGCAATTTCCACCCCAACTCTCCTTTGCTCAACCTCCCTTTCTACTGAAAGGTGAATTTTTCTCCCACTGTGTCCTTATATCCATTCTCCCCTTCCCTTCAGCCTATAATTATGCTCAAACTCAATCTCTCTTTAAAGGGAGTCTTCCTTTGACCAGAGTCAACCAATCTCTTAACTTTCCTTTCTTACGCTCTACTTAAGAGCAGTCCAGCCTATTTTCCTTTCTTATTTTCCAGTGATTTCTAAATCAAGCAATTGGCTTTTCCCACTAAAAATCTAAACAGCTTTAGAATATTCACCTCTAACCTTCTGAGAGTGTAACTGAACATTTTTCATTACTTTCTAATCAAAAAACACATTCATTGACACTATTAAATTTATCCCTGCTTTCTAAAACTTTACCCTCTAGATGTCTGTGGTCTCACACCCTTCTTATCTGACATTTGCAATACATCTCAATAGCAATGGGTCCAAGAATCTGTACTTGGCTCACCACTCTTTTGACCCTATGCTTGTAGTAATTTTATCCTCTCTTCTAGTTCACATATGCAGAAGACTCTCAAATATTTATCATCAGTCTGGAGATCCCTATTATGCTCTATGCATACTCATATCCACTACCTACTGACCAACCTACTGTATACTAGTGAAGCAAATTCAGTGTAACTGAAACTTAAATCTTACCATCTGTCTGTGTACTTACTTTAAATGGAGACATGCCTACATCCATCCCAGGAGTCATCCTCAACTTTCCCTCCTCCCCCTAACAATCTAGCTCTGATGATCTTATCACCTAAATGCTTTACCAGTCTATCCCATCTTCTTAACACTCTTACTAGGTCAGACTTTCTTTTTTTTTTAATTTTACTTATTTTATTCATTTTAGTTATTGATGGACCTTTATTTTTTTATCTATATGTGGTGCTGAGAATTGAACCCAGTGCCTCACACATTTGAGGCAAACACTCTACCATTGAGCCACAACCCCAGCCCCAGGCCTTCTTGACTTACAAGACTACTCCAAGTAACTCTTAACTAATCTCTGATTCCCTTACTTCCCTCAAATCCATTCTCCATTTTGCTGTCAAAGTTATTTTTTAAAAAACTAATTCTGCCCTTCAATAAACTATTCTTCCAACCCCCAACATATTCAAGGCTTTGTATTTTCTGATCCCTCTCTACCTCTTCTGGTCACTTATCACTCTCTGCCAAATATTTGGTGATCTAGTAGTAGCTAACAGTTTGTAATACTAATGTATTTATTTCTTTCCCTGGTCCAGCTAACTACTAGTAGCCCTATAGATCAAGTGTTATTCCCATGGACGTCCTCTTAAAAGCCAAGATCTCCCCGACCCCCATCCCTCAGGTAGATGAGATTCCCCTTCTATATTCTCTCATATTTCCCTGTGCATCCCTCTCACTGCACCTGCTAACCTAATTCTATGCTTATGTGTCTGCTCAGCCCTTAGCCTAAAAAGTAAGCCCCTTGAGAGCAGAGGCTGTTATCAAGATATTAGGTAGGAAGTAGCTAGCAATGAACAGTGAAATTGCAATGGTGAGGTCATAAAGTGTTCTTTTTACTTTAGGGTCCTTCTTTAAACTATCTTAAGAAATCAAATGGTGACAGTTAATCTGTAGAAAACAAACAAAAACAAGAGAACTATTTGTAAAACATGTCAAGAGAAAGGATTAATAGGACCCTTTACAGGGTTCACCTAGGTTGATGTGAAGTTAGGCATTATGGCTACAAGCGTCCAATTGTCTGGGAAGGAAGATTCCTTTAGCAACGCAAGTGCACTAAGGCAACTTCTGACCAGCTATTGATCCCAGTGCCCACATTAACAAAGAATTGACTTATAGATTGAAGGCCTCCTAAATATGACAGCCACATGACAATTCTGGTGAGGACCAACTAAGGTTAAAAACTCCACCACCCAAGTGGAAGGAATTGAACATCTGATTGGCGAAGGTTGCTGAAGGAGGACCCCACTTTTCAAGTAACCACAAAACAGCAATAAATTTAGGGAGAGCATTGTCTCTGTCATTCTCTGCTCAGAGTCGGAACACTCGCTCTCTTGAGAGGGTTCTTTACCTGAACCTCATTTTACTTTTACTTTACTTTGACCTCACTTTCACTTATAATAATAAGTTCTCCTGCATGACTTTTGGTGTCTGGTTTTAAATTTTCTTTCTTCCAAACACAAGGACGGAGGTTTGGAGTTTCAGCTCTCTGCTTTCCTGTGGCAATGATATCCTCAGTGTCCAGCATACTGGATAGCAGCCATTCCAAAAAGGTTTCTTGAATACATTAAAAAAAAAAAAAACTCCCCAACTTCTCCATCATCTAACAGCAACTACTAACCCCTTCACCACGCTTGAACCTCATATTCTGTACGTAAAACACACACCGAGCACTCCTCTTGGATATCTCTATCCTCCGCTACTCAAATAAGCTCCCGGAGGAAGAGGCCCCATCATTTTCACCTGCCTAATTCTGGTACCTGGAGCACGTGCAGAATGAATGAAAAGGCTCAGCAACACCGAGAGGACTTCTCTCTCACATACCCTCCTCCAAGGACTAACAGAACTTCTTTCACCCTTCGCAAAGCTCAGCCCCCAGCCCAGGGACCCAAGGATTGGGGACCAGCAGTCCCCTGAATCGGTGCGTGCGTCGAAGGTGCGGGGAGCCTCCACCCACAACGAGACCCCACCGCTCAGTCCTCTCCCGTCGGGAATTGTGAAGGGCGCTGCGGGCTCACCGGGAGGCGGAATTCCAGGTGCTCCTGAGCCATAAGCAGCAGATACCTGTCCAGAGTGCACCGCAGCGCCATTGCGGCTGCTCTCCATGCGCCTGCGCGGCCCGCTTGGCCCCGCCCCCTACCCCTCAGAGAGCGTTTCCCCTAGGCGGAGCCTGGGCGGCCGGAAGCGGAAGTTCAACAGGGCGCGCGCTGTGCTGACAGTTTTCACGCCTGGCGTCCGCACTCTCCACTGTTGGAGCGGCTTAAGTCTGGGTGGGGGCCCAAGTACAAGTAGCTGGTGCAAGGAGAAGCGTTGTTTCCTGGAACAGATTCTGATAAATCGAGGCCGAGGTCATAAGTCCAAAACATCCATGCATCTCTGCCAGGCTGAGCATCTAACACTTGAAAAGGGATTGGGTATCAGAGATCCAATGGGAAGGAGAAAAGTTAATCTGTTAAGATTTTTGCAATTAGAAAAAAATAAAAGTATTTTGTACCGACTTATATAGGAATTATGGGAATGTCAAATTTCTTGATGTGCCAGAGGGGTCTCTGGTATCATTCGTTAATGAATATGGTTCATGAAAGGAGAGAAATAACAGTGGTTGCTCCGTAGAAACAAGAATGCAAGTTGAAATTCTGAGGCACCAATTCAGACTTGAGCAACTGGAGTTTTTTGATTTAAGAATGACTCAACTCCTGGAAGTCAAATTTCCAACAAGCAAAATCTCCAGAGGTGGACAAAAGTAAATCCTGTTCTATGGTCTAAAGACTCCCCAGAAAAAACATGAAGCCCTAGTTTGCAAACTATGTCCTCTAATTTGCTAGGAAGCAGATTATGCGCATAGAAAAATGTGTGAAGGAAAACTGGGGATTCAGCCTTATTTCCTGGTCATCATAAACCCTAATGCTGTCACAATTCAAACACGGTCATCAAGGGCTATACATTCATAAATATGATAGCTGCCTAATTGAACTAAGCTGGAAGACAACTCTCTCCATATCTTATTAGGTGACTGAAATACCAAGTTCTCCCCAAAGAAGCCTAACCCAAGGCCTACTGGAATTTCCTCTCTGGGCCACTCCTTTGTTTAATTATTTTAAGTTTTCACTCTTTTTTTTTTTTTTACTCCTCTCCAAACAAAGGGCAAAGCAAGACAATGATTATTAACTCCACTGCTCAAGGAGCTTCAGCTTTGCAGCTTAGGTGGACTTTTCATGATTTTAAATAGATTAATAGATTTAATCTTTGAAATGGACCCCATTTGTTATTTCCTTTGGGCATAACTTGTAAACCAGTAGTAGTACAACATCACAGCGCATTTGCCTCATATGAGCCAGGTCTTTCATTTCCCCATTCTCTCTTCTTCCTTCCCCTTTCCTTCCTTCCTAAAATACAACCAAGTTTGATTTCTGAATTAAAAGGCCTTTTGGCAAGTAATTCGCAAACATTACATTCTTGCTTAAGGTAGGTATGCAGCTCACCTTCTAGATGCTTTTTAAGCACATATTGTTTTAAGCATAATTCCCAGTACTCTCCATCTTTTAATCCTAACTGCTTCCCAGGAGTAGAAAAATTATATAGTGTTGGACTCAGATGAGAATACACCAAAATGAAGGCCTCGGAACAAAATTTCTTACTCTATCTTCTGCTCCACTTTTTCCCTACAAGACAAGCCATAAAAACTAGAATTCCTCTTCCCTATGGGGAATAATAGAAACTAGAACTCTTTCACTCCAAAGCAAGCCCATAAAGCCAAAAAATACTAATCTTCCCCCACCTGTCTTTGAGTGGACCATAAAGAAATTCTTCGGCCTACCTTGTCTGACAGATCATAAGACTTCCATTTCAGAAGGGGTCTTGCCCGCCCCATCAGGGTGGAAGGAGTGCTGCACAGGGGCCAGGACAGTTAAATAGGCCTTCCTGTGTTCCCCCACTGTCTCTGACTATTAAATCACACCTTTCTTGTCTAATCCTATTACTCCATGGCTGCTTTCTCTTCATAGAACCCAAGGGCTCTATGGATCTTTGAGTCTTCATTCTTAAGGCTCTTGTCACTTAAAAGTTATGATTAAACCAATCTGCATCAATTTTTCTATTAAGTACCCACTGTCAGTCCCTTTCAGTAACTCTTCATGAAGCCTTTCCTTTTATCCTATAGTAGTCTGTAGATCATCCCTAATCCCTTTTAGGAATTTTCTTGGACAGTCTACTATATAACAGCAGAGTCAGGTAGTGTTTTACTCAATCCTATAGAGCACAGGTTCTCAAAATTGGCTGCATATTGTGATTACCTAAAGAGTTTTTTTAAATACTGAGGCCTGAAATCTAACTCAAGATTCAAATTTAATTTGATTAGAGTGCAGTCTGGAAATGAAGTTTTAAAGTTCCTGAGTTGATTTTAATGTGCAATCAAATTGGAAAATCACTTACAGCAGTAGTTCTCAAAGTGTGGTTCTTCTAGGACAGGCAGCATCAGTATCACCTGGAAACCATTTAGAAATGCTGTCCCACTCCCCAAAAAAATGAATCGGAAATTTTGGAGGTGGGACCTAGCAGTTTGTTTTTTAAAAAATCCACCAAAAGGTGCTGAATAATGCTAAGGTTTAAGGATAACTTCTTGGGGGAGGAGATGAATGGATGGGCTTTGAGTCTCTAGAGGCCCAGGCATCAAAGACTAATGTTTTGTTGTTTCCTTATCCACCTCTGGGGAGACAATTCATATGATAAATTTGCAAAATTGTCACCATCACAAATATTTTTCTCAGAGGAAAATGTATCAAGAAGGAAGTATTCCTCTTTGGCCAACTAAATTGAGAATTAGTCTTGAATCTCCTTAGCTATGAAAATATCTAGAATAATCACTTAATAGGTGATTTCCTGTGGGCCAGGAATGTTGTATAGAACCTAAGCCCTTAGAGAAAGAACAAATCTAATAATGTCAAGAACTATATGATACTTTCCCATAGCCCTGTAAGTTTCAATATTAAACTCTTTAAATAAAATCTCTGATATGAATTAATTCTTTGGAAACTCAAAAGAAATTTCACACTTAAGTTATATTGATAATGATACTGCCCTTAAAGATATCAGTCCAGAAAGATCAGCTGACATCTAGATTATAATCTTCTGGATTGAAATTTGCCTAAAATTATGGTCTTCAGTCACTTTGGTTTGTTATGGTAATATGTGAAGGCATTCAGAGATTAAATTACATTTACTGACAAGTCACATCAATCATTCACTAGAATAAGGCAATGCAGTTACAAAGATAAGGTTAAAAAATAAAATAAGCCCCCAACTCCAAGAGCTCAAAATCCAGTGATAAGAGACAGCCCATTCTATCTTGACTAGATTGCATAAAATGTCCAAGCTAGGGTTGAAGCAGAAGAAACAATATTGCTACAGTTGGGGATGGGAGACAACAGAGAAGACTTCACAGAGAAAGTAATATGTGAGCCAGATGAACATATTTACAAAGATGTGATCAGTTTAGTAATATACTGTTACAACTAAAAATGTTAAAACTGTTGGTTGTTATAACAACTGTTGTCACTAAAAATAGATGGTACACTAGGATACAAGTGTGAGAAATACAGATAAAAAAGCTGAAACATTATCTTGAGGGTAGATGATGAGTGTAATTTAGTGATTTAAAATTTTTTACTTGGTGCTTGTGATTGAACCTAGGGCCTCATGCATATTAGGCAAGTGCAGTACCAATGAGCTATATCCCCCAGCCCCAGTTTAGTAATTTAGGCGGTAATTTAGAAAGAACTCTGTTAGGCAGACAGTGACTAGAGGCAGGGAGCCCAGTCAGGAAATTCTAGCAATAGTAAAGACAAGAAAGTATGAATATCTGAAGACAGACACTGGGCATTAAGAGGATTGAAATGATTTTTGCTTTAGGACTTCTTCAAGGTTACACCCTGGTTCTAAAACTTTTGGTATAAATCTCAAGGTAAAGTGTTTAAGAGCCTGAGGAAACATGGCATGTGTGTTCTATTTAGTAGAGCAATGAATTAAGAATAGACTGCAGAGTTGGGCAAGGATAAAAGTAGGGAGATCATAATAAAGAAGTTTCTGCTGAATCTAAAGAAAGGATAACTTGGCCAAGATGAAAATAGTACAAGTGGTAAGAAGTGGTAAAATTATGAATATAATTTGAAGATATTGCCAATAGATTTGCTAATGTTAGATATGAATGTGAAAGACAAGTAAAATATGGATCCAAGATTTTGACTTCAGCAACTCAAAAGACTGGAGTTGCCATTGATAAAGATAGAACAGATGAATGTGTTGGGGGTGGGGGAAATTTGAAGCTTGAGGTACATATTTTAATACCAACTTAGTGGAGTCATATTCAGTTTAATCAGTGCATGATTGTTGGTTGTGTTCCATCTCTCCCTATGAGATTTTAAATAACTAATCATACATCTGATTCTCCTTAATTAGAAGTGGATAAGACATTTTCATTAAATTAACTTAAGTTGAATTAGAGATATGGTTATTGCATTTATTTTAGTAGAATAAACAGATACCAGCTTCATTTTGGTAACTTGGGAGTACCTGTACCTAGTACATACTGAAAATTTAATGAAACTTGTGTTTTGTAGAGACTTTTTGACATCAAAACCTAGAAATATTTGAGTGTTGCAATAACAAAGATTGTGCTCTGACCTTCAATTCTTTGTATGAAACAAGAGTGAACCTTTTGTGCACTGTTATCAGCCAATTTATCAAACACCATTTGAACATGTTTTTAGTATTAAGAGTCCACAGAGGGACTGGGGTTGTGGCTGAAAAGTAGAGCGCCACCTAGCACGGGTTTGATCCTCAGCACCACAGAAAGTAAAATAAAAATTGTGTCCACCTATAACTAAAGAAAATATATTTTAAAAAAGAGTCTACAGAGGCAAAACTTGACACAGTATTTTTCTATTTTTTATTTCATTTTCTTGTAAGTAAGCACAGTTTGAAGTAGTTCATTATAATTTTATTATTCCATAACTGTATGAATAACATCACAACATGCATATACATATTCTCTATACTAAACATTTTTAAGACAGGTTCTGACTTAACGTTGCTTTGAATTCATGTTTATAGACAAGTAAGGAGTTAAATGCTC